ATTAAAGTTTAGTTGAAGCTGCTGCATTAAGCAGATATACAGACTGCATTTCACTACTTTTCTTCTTTCTTTTTCCAGGACTAACAGCTGGAGACTCAATCACTCCTCAACAACCTGAAGTCACTGAAACAGAAGGAGAATCTGTCACACTCACATGTAGCTATGAGACAAGTGCAAGTGATGCTTACCTTCACTGGTACAGACATCATTCTGACCTTCAGGCTCCTCAGTTTATTCTGTGGAAACAAGGAAAAGGAGGCAGTGCTGAGAATATTCCTGATAAACGATATGGATCAAAAACAACAGATCGATCAACTAACCTGACCATAGCAGCACTAACCCTGGCAGACACAGCTCTCTACTACTGTGCTCTAGAAACACAGTGATACAAAGTGTAGAAGAGGCTGTACAAAAACCTGAACACAGATATCTGACTACTCCTTAAAAAGGAGGGAAGTGGTTTGGAAACCACGGCTTCTGATCTGATCAATTTGCCATTTCCTTTTTTTTTATCAGAGTCACTGTGGTTACAGCTGCTTAGGAGAAACTGTGGGAGGATTCAGAGCAGTACGAGTCCCACAGCAGCAGCAGACGACAGGCCTGACGTTCATGTTTCAAAATAAGAGTTAAATTAAGCACTTCCCTGTGATTGATGCTCTTTGAGAGCCTCTTGATCTGATCTAGTCTGCTATTTTAGGACGGACTCCTCTCTGAGTACAATAATCAGAATTAACAAAAAGCCTGAACTGATGGTTAGATTTCTTTGTTCCAGTCATCATGTAACAGCTGCAGGAATCAACTGCAGTCAGCACACAGCTCTCTCACACAGAGGGAATCTCTTCAAATCCTCTGAACAATAAATGTCTAACATTTTGAGGGCATCTCAAAACACTCATTTGAGCATAATCAGTGTTTTATGTAAATGTAGTGAAAGCTCATCAAAACCACGAACAAAATGTGTTCACTGAAGGTGTTACCCACCAGTTTATATCTCAATAAAAACATATTTTCAGGAAATAATAAAATAGTAATGGATTGCATTTATAAAGCACTTTTTGGGGCCCTCAAAGCGCTGTACAATGTCACTAACTCACTTCTGGCCAACACCAGTGGGCGGTAGGTGAAGCGTCTTGCCCAAGGACACAACGACCGAGACTCGGTGCTCGAGCCGGCAACCTTCCGGTTACAAGACGAACTGCCAACTCTTTGAGCCACGATCGCCCCGTAAATGTGCAAAGCAAGATATGAAGTTTAATTTTCTATTCTTAGGCAGCTAAATTAACACAGATGTCCCATTTAGTCATAATTTTAATATTATAAATACTAACGGTCTGATTACTACCGTTAATGTCAGAACCGGTGCCATAATGGGACAGGATACCAGTAACCATCCCTACCAAGGATGGGTACCAGATTTGGTTATCTCTAAGCCTGCACATCGTGAATTCGCTGTCATTCCAACAAAGCTACGTCAGCCCGAGTACTGCAAGTAAAATGCGTTTGAATTTCCTCTGAACATTCAGATTAGTGCAGCATAAATTCATTCATGAGGGGAAACTACAGTGAGAACATGTGGAGGCTGTTAGAGGGAAAACATGTGCACTGATGTGTCCTGAAGGATTTAGTTATTCTCTACGGTTCAGGAAATTGCACTAATTAATTCATATTTATTATAAATAATCCTAATTATACATATTGCTTCATTCACTAAAAATACATTTTATTTCAGTTTTATACGTTGATTAATGACCTGCAGAGTCTCTGTATCATTTTAAGTGATTCATAAAAGTTGAGCTTTATGCTTTCTCCATCGTGAAGTGAACATCCTTGCATTACTTACTGTAGGCTCATTTTTTTGCACGCAGATTAAAGAGAGAACAGATTTAACATGCAGCGTTCTGTAGATGGATACATAAAAAGAAAAAGACATTAATGTTTGTGCTTTCTCAACACTTTATTTGTTACATTTATGATAAATGGGTTTGACAGTAGATAAAACATTTGTGTCGACTTTGGCTCATTAAAGTTGTCTTTAAATGAACTTTAGTCCTGCGCTCTCAAACACTCTTTTAGCCCTTTGTTTGGTGCCTCGGCGGCCACGCCCCCTCCAGTGACATCACACTCCAAAGCCCTACAGGCTCACCTGTGCTTGTATATATTGGACCGTTAAAGGAGTTGAGCCACATACAGGCTGAGGGGAGACGATCCTTTTATGACCAGGAATAAAAGCTGTGAGGGGAGACTGGAGCTACAGATGTTTAATTATGGTTAATGTTTAATAATGAGGATGAAGAGAGCCACTGATCTCGGTGTCAGCGGGTCGAGTAAACTGTGCCTGACAAATAGGTTTAAAGAGTAAAAGTATTTGTGTATGACTGGGTTAACAGCAGTATACTAAAATGAGTGTTCTTGAGAAAATGTCATTCTGTAATATAATGAAACATGAAGTGAAATATAATCTCATGTGAGTGAATATTCGAATGTGATGAAGGTTTCTGTGTTACAGAGAAGTTTAAATTCTGTTTGAAAACCCAGCAGGTGCTCAGGAAGGAGCAACTAAACTCCCGCTGCTGGTGACCTTCTACAGATCCACCATCGAGAGCCTGCTGACCTATGCAGTGACAGCGTGGCGCGCCAGCTGCACGGAGGCACACGGGAAGAGACTGCAGAGAAAACTACAGTCCATGCTAGGAAAACACAATCTGTGTGTTTCAGTTTCAACATTTTACAGTTCAACTTATTTCTTGTATTAAACTCTCATCAAAGAAGAGAACTAAAAAAACACAAAAACTCTGCCCTCCTTGTCTGCCGTCCACAACTCCTGCTGTCTCAGCAGGGCCAGAAACCTTTTAAAGGACACTACCCACCCCGACTACCATCTTTTCAACCTACTGCCCTCTGGCGCTACCGATCCATAAGGGCCAAAACAAAGAGACTCAGGGACAGCTTCTCCCCCAAAGCCATCACCATACTCAACTCAAACTTGTACAAAAGTCATCTGCACTGAAATGTCATCTGCCTGTCTGTCTCTGTCAGAACTGTACTGTGTATTTATATTTACAGTAGTGTTTACTTTTATTCTTGTATAGTTTTATAAAGTGCTGTAAGCACATGTGCACTTTTATAGAGCTGTTCTGTCGTTATACTGTGTATAATGACAATAAAGGCTTTCAATTCAGCTCTGTTTTCTTTTCTGTATGTGGAGAAAGTTAAATCGATAAAGAGATGATGAGGTGAAGCTGTGAACCTGCACATAGTTTCATAGTTTTGGACTTTGAGAAAGAATCGAGAAGATTTCCTCTCAGCCCCCCCCCTCTCTCCTCAGCTTGATCTCACAGTTGGTTCATTTGGATTTTAAACTTCAGTTAAATTCAGATTCATGTTTATAGCATCAAATCACAACAGTCACGACACTAAAATCAGAAAACCAGAGGCCCGGGTTTGTAGGTGTCTCACGTCCAGCCTGTTTGCTTTATCCTCACCAAAAGTATGAATCTGTCAAAAACATCACAACATCAGTAACATCAGATACAGGAAGTGTTACCATGGCAGCAGGAGGACCCATGTGACTCCTGCAGCTAACAGAGGCTGGTACACGTCGCTGTGCATGTGAAACTAGATGTTTCCCACTTTAATGCACCAACAAGTTACTAAAAGGGAGGAAATAAATCACTGAATTACTGACAAGATCAGAAGCACTTGGTCCTCCAAAGTGAACAGCTGACTGACTGCAGCGTGACAGAAACACAAACACACAAACACAGCCTGACTGTACTGCTGCTGAACACACAAGCTGTGATGGTAAAATACGAGCTTATTACACAACATTACACAAGCATGAGAAAGAGATGACGACCCGTTCATATCTGTGGTACGACCGTCACAGTGACATCACGAGGGGGAGGGGCTTCCCGTGCATGTGAGGAGAGCTCGTGTCGCTCTGAGCCACATGCAGACGGTAGAAGCTTCGTTTCTGTCCAACAGGATGATTTTGGTGCCGCTGCTGCTCCTCTGCGTCTTCACTGGTAACTCACATTTACAAAGAGTCTGTTATACCTGCTGTTTCAGACTCGGACCACAATAACTTAAACACCTTTTCCCTTGTAGATGTGAGCTGTGAGGAGCTCAGTCCAGTCCACGGTGAGCACACTCAGCTCTCCGTGGAAGGCAACACCGCGTCTCTGTCCTACAACTACCCCAAACTCGTATTTACAGATTATTTCTTCTGGTATCGGCAACATCCAGGAAAACCACCTCAGTTTCTCATCTCACACTCAGCATCAGAATCTGTGCTGAATAATCCGGTCGCGGGACTGAAGGTCAAAGTGGAGGAAAAACTGATCCAGATGAGCATCTCCTCCATCACAGTAGCAGATTCTGCTGTTTACTTCTGCGCCGTGAAGCCCACAGTGACAGGAAACCCAGAGTCCCTGTACAAAAACCATCATCTCAGCTAAGAGCGCTCACGCGTCAGCTCCTCTGCTCTCTTAGACAACAGCGCCATCAAGTGGATTCTTCCAGCTTTGCATGATGCTGGACGAAAGCTGATGATGCTTTAATACAATCGGCAAGTTTAGACATTTGGTCCAGATTTATTTGATTGATTTACAGAGAACTGATGACTCACAGAGTTGGTAAAGACGTTGGTATCAGAATGAAATGAACATTTCCATCCGTTTTTGGAAGCATCAGCGTCGCCAACAGGGGGAAATATCTGATTATTGCTTGATGGCTCAGACAGAACAGCAGAGATGTTTGGTGCTCATAAGAGGAAAGCAGTGAAAGGAAACCACAGCCAGTTTATTTATGTCCTGTTTCCATCGTGAGCAGAAGCTGTGTGGAAAAGCACTGTGATGAACGTTTTGTTGTGATTTGGTGAAAAATAAATGAAATTGAGTTGAATTAGAAAAGTGCTGAATCATATTTATTCTTGTTTTGTTTAAAAATCAATAACCAATCAGAGTCTGAGTCGCTGTTGGTCATTTGATAGCAAATAGATGCAGAGATTTATTGAAACATGCATTATTATTATTATTATTATTATTATCTTCAGTGTCTGTGGGCTTGGACACGATGGAAGAGTCAGGAAGAACTGGAGGCCATCAGCTGATGAAGCTGACAGAACCACATCATCCACCAAAAGCAGAGATGAGATCCTGAGACCCCCCAGCTGGAAGTGTTCAGCCGCCTGCTACGCCTACAAACTGTGTCCATAAAAATGATAAAAGGGCAGCTCAGGCATTTCTCATGTGATCGAGCTCTTGAATGAACACCTCAAACAGAGAACACCTCAGACTCCCAAAGCTCCTCCCACATACTCAGAGGCACATGGTCGAACGCTTTCTCCAAGTCCACAGAACGTGCAGACTGGTTGGGCGAACTCTGTTGTAGTGTCGATGAGTGTGATCCTCCTGTAGGTGGAGCACTGTGGTCATTCTTAGTGCCAGTCCCACGTCTCCACCCAACATCGTACAGTGTGTCATCAGCACAGCCGACAACAGTAACTGAAGGTTAGCAGGAAATTATAAAGAAACTGTTTGCATAATATTTCAAATCAAACGGGTCAAAGGTCAAAATAATGAAGACATTTATACACAAACATTTCAGAACAAAGTAGGTCAGAGGTCAAAGTGATTATCTCATAAAATACAGAAGTTTTTACATCTTAAAATACTTTAAAATATTTGTTAAGTCTAATTATTGAATGTTGTTATTGTGTTTCTTAAATGTGTAAAGTCTCAGTTCAAGCAGGAGGATCAAGACACTGCTTCGTCTCTGAGCTCGTCTCTCTGTGCTGGGCGAGGTTTGATCACAGACACACAAGATTCTGCTCTTTGTACGGCTTCACTGTGCTGTGCACGATGAACCAATACAGGAATTTCCCTCGGGATGAATAAAGTATGATCAATCAATAGTTCCTTGTCTTTCTAAGCAAAGGGGGTTTTATGGAGGGAGGTGCTTGTGCTGGGATGTGTAACTGCATGTCAATGAAGAGGCTGCGAGGAAGCTGCTCTTTGAAGGAGACTAAGAGCTGGTTCTGGACCAAAGCTTCCCTCGTTACGAGTTAAAGACCAGCTGAAGATGTTCTGTCTTGATTTCACTCATCATGAGGAAAAAGTCTGTAAACCAGCAGGATGTGGAAACACAGACCCGACAATATTGTTCCCTTTGTTATTGTCCGAATGTGTTTTTTTAGTTCTCTTCTTTGATGAGAGTTTAACACAAGAAATAAGTTGAACTGTAAGATGTTGAAACTGAAACATGTGTGACTGTAGTTGTAAAAAGACCAGCCTGTTCCCAGTCAGCCTTTCCTCCATCATAAAAACATGTTCATCATTCTTACCTGCAGTTTTTAATAAACCTGTTAATTCTTTGTGTCCAGTGAATATAATTACTATAACATCATTAAGAATAGATAAATTATTATCAATGTGCACATACAATGAAAAGAAATGAAATCAATTTTAATTACATGAAGCTTGGAGGTGTTTAAAGAAGAATTAATAAAGTCAGTGTTTTACTGTCTGAGTGTGTGTAGTTTCATCCACAGTGACAGATTATACAAATATCAACACATCTCTAATGAATCTGGTTTTTGTCATATTCAGGAGACATTTATGAGCTTCAGGAGAGACATAAAAACTATTTCAGCTACAACAGTCACAAAAGTGTGTGAAATGATGAACCAAAGATCTTTTGATTTGACTTGTTTTTTAAACTTTTATCTTCTCGTAGCACGTGTCCACACTGAACAGAAACTTGTGTTTGTGAGGAAACCTCTGATTTTTACTCTGTTTATACTGTATTCATGTAGAAACTCGTTTCTTTGTCTCTATAATACTCAATAACACACATTCAGATGGTTGTATCCAGCAGCCCTCTTACATCACATATGTGCAGTTGCAAATAAATACCACAAGGTGGTGCTAGTGCCACATGCAAAAACTCCTGAGGCGCTTGCAGTGCTCCACCTACTGGCCATGTTTATGTCCGTGACAGCAGAACTACAGACAGCAGAACTACAGACAGCAGATATGAGATGATGGCTGTGTGTAACCTGCATGAAATAAGGCGACAAAGAATCCAACCTGTGAAGACGCTGCACTGAGTCAGTCGTGTGTTATTCTAAAGTCAGCAAACTCTTCATGTCTGGATTGATGGAAACGTTCCTATAAAACCAGTGAAACTCAGCCCATCATCACATGCCAGAGTTTCTACTGGATCCAGTTCTGGTGACTGGGATCCTCGATTCCTGAGTCCAGTTTGACTTTTCTCTTTCTAACTTTATATTTGATCAGAGCGGGCTGGAGGCAGGTTGCATCTGTAAATGTATGTTGACTTTGTACTTTGTGTTCTGATCAATCATCTCCAGCCCAGCAGAGATGTGCAGCTCAGACCTGCCAGAGCAGCTCAGCCACGTACCAGGTCGGTGGTTCGATCCCAGGCTGCTCCAGGCTGCATGCCAAATATCCTTGGGCAAGATACTAACCCCATGTTCTCTCTGATGCATCCATCAGAGTGTGAATGTGTGTGGTAAATGGCCTGTATTTGT